TCTTTCGGATGTCTTTCTCATTTTTCATCCTCATTACAGACTTTTTCTCGGCCTTGGTGGTGAACCTTCTGATAAATAAATATTGGCTCGTTTATCTTCCTCGTCCTCAGGGTGTTGCCCTAGAACCTTCCTGGACCATTGAGTGGAACCTGATGGCCTGTACGACATCCTCCGGAGTGGGCTTGACCATGAATAACTTGGAAAGCTATAGCACACTCCTCCTAGTTTTAATTGAGCAGGGAGGTCGATGCATTTTGCAAGGTCAAATGTTTCTTCTTTATATTTTCATCTTTCTTTCACAGAGCTTTTGTCTCCACCAGGAAGAGTCATTTTTGGTTACTCATGAAATCTTTCTTCCTCACCAGCCAATCGACTCCACCTTTATAAGAGTTCCTGGGTAGTGTCACGATTTCACAAGAGTAACCACAGCTAAGTTGTCGTGTTGCTAATTATTGCAGGACGGAATGACACAATATAATAATATTGCATTAATTACAAGCCCAAGTGTCCACTTTTATGAATGTTATGATGTTAGTGTAATTTTCTATAACTGTGGAATGTAAACATAAACAGGGTGGCAGAGGACACTGAACCAGTCCCCTTAAGATCTAGGGATGTAGCTAGGAAGAGCTCAGTTGAAGTCTGGTGTTTTACCTTGCTAGTCAGCTAAGATAAACCACTGGAATAATTATTATCTATGTACACATACACACATATGTGTGTATATAGTCACATCAAGTTGTAGAAACATGTTTAATGACATAGGAAATAGTTTATGATATGGTAAATGAAATAAGCAGATTATAAGATATATATACAAAAGACTTAAATTATGAAAGGATGTTCGACCTTACTCCTAATAAGAGAAATGCAAATTTTAACTATAATGGGCCAGAATCTAAAAGCTTGACAATATGATGAGGCGGTGGAGAACTAGGGACTCTGCTATATTGCTGGTGGGAATGTAAATTAGTACAATCCCATATAGAGGGCAAATATCAAAATTAAATGGTATGTATCTTTGACTCAGCAATTTCATTTTTGGAAGTTTTACATTACAGATAGCTTTGCACGATATATGTAGAGATTATTGATTACAGCACTCTTTAATAGCAAAAAGCTGGAGACAATCCAAAGTCCACCCGAAGTGGCTGGTTAAATAACATTGCATATTTATAATATGGAGTACTGTGTAGCTGAAAAAAAGAATAGAGAAGCTCTTTATGAACTGACATGTCATCCCAGGCAAAGCCCCAGACCTCGGAAGATAATTTCTTATGGAGAAACTTTTGGGGTTACCCCAATGAAAGCAATCTCTTGAGAGCTTGTAAAAGCAAACTTCTTTAAATAGAATTTAATTTTATGTTAAAAAACATGAAACATACATACCAGAAAAGGTGCATAAATCAAATTACCTGGTATAATGAGTAAGTTTTAGGCAAACGCTCATGCTACTACCATTGAGCTCAAGAACACAATGCCGTTTCCTCAGGTCCTCTGAGCATCCCTTTTTGATCATACTCCTTTCCCTCCCATGAGAGGTAATCACGGCCCTCACTTTCGTGGTGACTAATTTGCTTGCATTTATCGTTTTGTCACCTTGTTAAGTCCTCTGAAAGATGTACTTTCATTTTGCTTGCTTTAAAACTTTATTTATAAGTCATCTACATTGCATGGAGCTACATTTTGTTTATTCTATTAACTATATAGAATTCCATTACATGCTTGTACCATGATATTTCATTCATCCTACTGATGATGGACGTTTGGAATATTTTCAGTTTGGGGAATAAAGAACAATGTTGATAATACGAACAGTATGCTAGATGTATGTGGGTGCATAGATGCATGAGTTTTTCTAGGGTAATTACCTCTGAGTGATTGGGGTGTTATAAGGCATAAATAAGCATCTTCTTTTCTAGATACTACAAAATGTTTTCCAATGTGGTTTTATCAATGTATATTTCTTCTAGTAGTCAACAAAGTTCTCATTGTTCCTTATGTTCACCCAAAGTCCTAAGTGCTTAGTTTAGTCAGGCTTCTTAACATTTATAGTTAAATGAGTGTGTAGTAAAATCTCATTATAGTTTTAATTTGCATTGGTGACAAATGAAGTTGTGTGCCTTGTTGTATATTTATTGGTCATTTAGATATTTCTCTTTGTGAAGTGCAGGTTCAAAACTTTTGCCTGTTCTTTTATTGGATTGCCTTTCTTTAATAATGCTTAATTTAATCCATCTATTACTAAAGAGTCTAAACGATTAATAATCAGGGTTGGGGGTTCACCATGCAGCCAGAGGGCAAATGTAGAAATTTAAGATTTTTCAGAAAACCTTTTTTATGTAATTAGCTGGCACAAATTATTCATCAGACAAATTGGGCCTAAGCATCAGCTCGCCAAACTACCTGCTGCCAGTCATCTGCTCGTGCATCCAGATCAATGAGTGATGCTAATGACAGTACTCAACATTCACCAGACTCTTAACATGGGCTAAGTATGTATCTTACTTACTTCTTTCAATAACTCTGTGTGGAAAGTACTGTTAAACTTAGAGTCTGGAATAACCGTTATGACTCAACTAGTGAGGGATGTGGCTGGAAGTTGATCCCTCATCTAACTACAAAGTTCGTGCGCTTATGCTAATTGTTATACTGCCTCAAAACAAAGTTTCCTTCCGGTTTTGAATTCAGGATTGAGGTGTGCCGTGGAAATGGCAATCAATTCTTGCAGAAGAGAGTATAATTAAGTAGTTAGTTTAGAGCTGGTAAAACTTAAATTCCCTAAAACTATATCATAACGATTATGAAGAATACTGACAAACAGAAAATAGGTTTACTGATGCTTACTATGCACTTGATTTATGTCTGCATCACAACTGATATGTGAATGGCAGATATGGACTCTTTCAATTTACTACTGCATCCATAAACATTTTATACATATTGAGTAGATAAAATCAGAGACTCTTAATCCAGACTCATTTTTTTTTTAGGGTAAAATCATGAAATAAACCATGATGACAAACCTAACCATGCATACGGTAGCAGCTAGCAGAAATTCTCAAAGCATGGAAAAAGACAATTTGAGACTCGACAAACTGTGTTGATTCTCAAAGGGGCTTTCTAGTCATTAATAAGCATAAAACATCAACATGTTCAAAAGTAAAACACTAATTTCTTGGACAATACCCCAGAAACCTGTGAGAAAATGAACCTTTATTTCCAAGTTAAACTTTGAATTTGTTGAAAAATAAAAGAACTGTGTGTATTTGAAATAAAATTTGTGGAAAGGTGATCAGACTTTGAAAAGATCATGACAACGAAGAACGTCCATGAAGTCGATGGCAGTTTTCAAAGCAGTTTGGAATAAGCTTTGATTCAGAGGGCTAGGTTTTTATATATATACTTTTTCCCTTTTGAGGGAACCTTCTGGCTCGAACGTGTTCATGTGTCCTGTACAGCTTGTAAAGCTATTTTTTTTTCTCCGCTGAGACTCTGCTCAGGCTTGTAGTTTCATTTGAAAAAATAATTTTCTATCTCCTTCTAGACTGAGCATTAATCCCCCCCATGGCTTGATTGATTAAACCTCACTGTTTGCATCTGGAAGGCGAAGTCTGAGCTTTATGTACTGCCTTCTGGCAAGCAGCTTTCCTGTTCCCTGGACCGTTCCAGGACACGACAACAGTACGCAACAGGCTTTTAGACTCTCAAACCTTGGGGGCTGACAGGTATAGTGTCTCACTTTACCATTTTAATAAGTTCAAAGGTCTGTAATGGTTATATTGCTGTCTGATGAATTTGGTTCAATAACAATATCTTACCTTTTGTATGGCATTTACATGTGAGAAACATTATCTTATTTGCTCTTCACAGCAGTTGTTTATGGGAACCAGTGCCTTATCATCTGCCATTTTAACGAGGAGAAACTGATCCTTGCCCAGTCACATAGCTAGTAACTGGTAACCTTGTCATTACAACTGAGATCTGCTGATTTTAACATCAGTGTTGTTCTACGATTCACACAATATACCCAAGACTGGAGAATTATAGAGGATTTTTTAAAAGGCCCACAGTATCAAAGCGCTCTGAGTACAGGAAACTGATGATATTATAAATGTCACCTCGCTGCTCATTTGAGGAGAACTAAACAAAGAATAAGCCATTTCAATGTTGCCTCTTGGAGAAAATTACAAGGATAGCTTTGGAAAACCCTACATATCATCATTCAGACCCCTGGAATATAAGCAGGCCTGCCCTGTAGGGAACATGTAACACGTAAGTTCTCAATGTGCTGGCCTTGCTTTCCCGTGCATTTTACACGTGTATGTCTCATTTCTCCGACTGTAAAATCCTGGAAGGTAAGCATTTTGTTTGGTTTCCCCCAGCGGCAGATCTTGAGATAAAGATTCAAGTGCAAGTAACTTGAGAAATAAACGCCAGTGGGGAGTAGGGCATGGTACAAAGAAGGGAAAGTGGCTGACACAGGTACATCATTGAGCCGCTGCCATCAGGCGACTGTAGCTTAATCCCAAGAGGAACCCCTGGACACAGTGCAAAACACACGCCTCAGAGGCTTCTCATCTGTGGGGTGAGGGAGCTGGTGTTTTCATACGCAACTCTCATCAGTCCTCCACCCTCCGGTGTGCTGTGCAAGAAGGCAGAGTGGCATTCTGTAGCTTAGGAGGAAGTTCCCAGGCAAAGACATGCAGACACTGCAGGGCGAAGTCATTAGTAAAAAGCAAGAAGGACATGAAAGGCCATCCAAAGGGTCTGCTATAATAGTATCTAGGTCTTATGTTTTTATTTGTTTGTTTTAATTTTATTTCAAAGTCCAGAATAGTATTTAGGACATAATAGTCCTATGATAACTATGGACACATCAACCTCATATCAGAGTGGTACTGAAGGATGCTTACAGATACACTGACTGACAAAAGAATGCGGAAAGGAAGAAGGAGCATGGAAGGGCAAAGGGGGCACTGGGAGTCGCTTCTACTCACACTTTCTCGTAAACCTTGTTGGGATGTTCTGGCCATTTGATCATGCACACCACCCTGTTAGGCAAGGTCTCTGTGGTCGAGTAGTAGCCCTGGGGGAAGGCCAGCAGGAGAGCCAGGGCCCAGATGACACAGATGACCACTTTGGTGGCTGTGGCCGACAGCCGGGGCTGGAGAGGATGGATGATGGCCATGTACCTGGAGCAGAGAAGAAAAGACAGAGTTCTGATTTAGTCACCAAAATCTACATTAGTGATTATGCCTCGTTCTCGACAATGAAAAATTCCCGGAAACCCTTGACTCCTGGTGATTTTTACAACTATTTTCTGATACTTTTCTCATGTTCTGTCCTTAAGTTTTATGACTCTTATGACATAAAATGCTAAAATTCATAAGAAAAATCAGCCATATTTTTAATTATTTCAGAACCCATCTAGCAACATTCTACGAGAGAAATTTTCATCGTAGCAATGCTCACACTAGGGACACCATGTCCAAATTAGGTCAGTGGCTGAGAGTGGAATTAGAAAAAAATGTAAAGTTATTCAATATAGCGCCTATCTTTATTCTTTTTAGATTAAAGAATAATGGTTACAGAAATAGTATCTTTTAAAGTCCTCTTGTGGCAATTTAAAAGGCTAGCGCTTCTACCTAGACCCATACAATTTGTGTATGTATGAGAAAGCAGTGGCCTAAAGCCAGCAAAAAACAACAGCTCCTGGAGAAATCCTCATTAATTTTTTGGACATCTAGACATCAGAGTGTGGCTAACAAGACTTTTTATGAGGAGAAAGGCAGTCTCTTCCT